TACTCCCCCCGTTGAGAGGGGAACGATCAACTGTTGCATATAAATTTCGTGTTTATAATGTGTTATAATTACGCATTTCGTTTACGCATCGGTGAGACGCATTTCGGTTACGCATGGTTAGGACGCATTTCGGTTACGCATTGTTAGTACGCATTTCGGTTACGCATTGTTAGTCGATTGGCAATGGGCACAGCAGCTTAGTTGTCCTCTTTAGTTCCCCGGTGGCCGTTTGGATGGTGGCCGCCCGCGCTACGCCGTCCTCGCCTGGGTGTAGCTCGGTGATTTTACCCATTGCCCATTGTGAACACGGCAGGTTCTTATCCTTTATGAGTGCGACTGTTCCAACCTTCAGTTTCGGTCCGTCTTTGTCCCACCTTTGACGTTTTTGACACTCGTTTAGGTATTCAAGATACCATCGAGCCCAGAAGTCTTGCCGTACCTTCGTGATATGTTTCCAGCAAGACAACCGATTAGCTGGAACAGACGATAAATCGCCCTCCGGGAGGGTCGTTAGCGGCTTTCCAATTAAGTAATGAGCCGGTGTTAACACCAACATATCGTTCGGATCGGAGGAAAGGGAGGTGATAGGTCTGGAATTTAGGACACCTTCGACCTCAACTACAAACGTATTTAACTCCTCGAATGTGAATAAGGAGTCGCCCACCACTCTACGGAAGTGATGTTTGAACAACTTTACCGTGGATTCCCATAACCCGCCGAAGTGCGGTGCTATTGGCGGTATGAAGTGCCACTTAATGCGATGTTCGCTAGCGAATCTTTCTACACAATTTTTGTGTTTCTCCGAATTAAATAAGGCGTACACTTCCTTTAACTGACTGTTTGCGCCCACAAAGTTAGTTCCGTTGTCAGTGTGGATATGGGCCGGCAATCCACGTCTAGCAGCGAATCGTCGCAACGCCGCCAGGAAACCGTCAGACGATAAATCGCTCACCACCTCTAGATGTGTTGCCTTTATTGCCATGCATACGAATATACACACATAGACCTTGATTCGCGTTCGATTACGGTGTTTTTTCTCCTTTATATAAAAGGGGCCGCAATAATCTATTCCCGTATTGGTGAAGGGTATCGCGTCGCGTATACGAGCCGACGGGAGATTGCCCATTTTATATTCAATCGCCTTGGCGTCGAAACGAAAACAGCGCGTGCAGGCGCGTATTACCTTGCGTACTTGATTCCGGCCGTCGAGTATCCAAAATCTCTGACGGAGAATGTATAGGGTAGTCTGAATTCCCGCGTGATAATGGTTTTCGTGCGACTCGCGGATAATTTGATCGGTTATAGGATGCCGACTCGGAAGTAATACCGGGTGCTTTCGTGAGAATGTTAGTTTCGAGTTTTGGAGACGCCCTCCTACGCGAATCAAGTCATTTTCATCCAAGAACGGATCTAAACTAATGAGTCTACCTTTGTTTATCGCCTGTTTGCTCTTAAGTTTTTTGATCTCCTCGGAAAATTGCGCGGCTTGTGTGAGTTTTAATATACATGTTTCCGCTTCGTTTATTTCCTCCGCATTTAATGTTCCGCCGCG